GGTCGGAAAACGGGGAGTCATCCGACGATGTCGGCGGCGACCCGCCTGGCGGGGACGACCCAGGGGGAGGCTTAGGCTTAGACGGAGGAGGCGGAGGCGGCGGCCCCGCAGCTGGGGCCGTTCCGGACCCAGAGGAGGGTGCTGCTGAGGGCCCTCCGCTCCCCCCCCCCCGCTTGACGGGAGGGCAGCTGCAGGGAGGCGCACCTTGCCGTTTAGGGATGGCGGGGGCATCGCGTGGATTGAAGCGGCCAAGCCGCGGTATCTGTTTAAGTGTGCCAATCCACTGCACGGCCGCTGCGAGCGAGAGAAAGCAGCTTATCCTTCCCCACTCCCTGCGAGGGCAGGGCAGGGTAGGGCCATGGGTTGGGGGGCCGCGTGGGTCCTGGCTAGTTTTGACAAGAGTGCCGAGGACCACAAAACTTTCAACCCCAGTCGGCCCGAGCGCAGGCGTGCTAGGGACCTGTGTAAAGTAGTGCACGGCGAGCAGTGGGCATCCATGTCAGCTGACACCGAAGCGGCCAATCCCCCAGGTGAAGATTCGGAACCAGAGAAGGTACCATGAACAAAAAACATTACGTCTCTCATATGCTTATCTCCAGAAGGGGATCTTAACATACCCCATCCAGACAAACGAATTACGTCTCTCGCAGTTCTCTCCAGGAAAAGGCTCCCACATACTTATCTCCAGAAAGGGTTCCTACCTGGAGTGGGCCATACCAGAAACGAGAAAGCACCCCTCAACAAAGGGCTCCCCACCAGAAAGGGGCCCCATGCCGTCACTTCCGTCGGTCCCTCTTCTCTTTGCCTCCTCGTTATTCCTCTCTCGCTTGCTTAACCGATCCCTATTCCAGTCCCCCTTCCTCCTTCTCCTCCGCCATCCCCTCCCCCCACCCCGTCCTCCAGCACGGGTTTCACGCCACCCTTTCATGCAAGACCCCACCGTGTCTCCGCCCCTGGAACCGAGGCTTCCTAGATGATCAAGTCGCCGAGAGCGATCCATCTGCAGTGCCGCGCCCATGCGCGCTCAGCACCCTTTCAAGCTCGAGCTGATCCAAACTCCTTGGCCGCCTGACTTGGCCCGTCTGCCTCCTCTTCCACCTCCTCGTCGCTCTGAGGAGGGTGAGGCTGTCGGGCCAATGCAGGTGGGCAGGGAGCTTGGGCTCGTTCGCATCATTTTCAGATCTATTTCCATATTCTGGCAATTGCCATGGCGGCCGCCGCGGCCCCCGCCTGCGCTATCTGCGCCGCGGAGCGCCAGGAGCCGCCCAAGACGAAATGGGGAGGCCACGGCGGAGCGGAGGGAGCAGGAGGAGGAGCAGGATCAGTACGAGGGGTCAGAGCGGGGGATTGGTCGGATTGGTCAGGAAGAGGGGGGGAGAGAGGGGCGGGAGCAGGGCGAGCAGTAGGATGTCCAGGGCGGGGGGCTCGAACAACCAAGTTGAGAAGGAGGGATGAGCAGGATGAGTGGGGGGGGGGGGGGGGGGGGGGGGGGGGGGGGGGGGGGGGGGGGGTGGAGATCACCAGCAAGAAGAATGAATGAACCAGAGAGGTAACGCACGCACTCTTACGGAATGGGGGTGGGGGGCGCCGAGCGTATTTCATCCAGCTTCCTCAGGATGATTCCATTCTGTGCAAGCCCTGCGGCTGGAAGAGCTTGAATCTGTTCTGGTTCCTCGGCTCGGAGCAGAAGGCCGTGGAGGTGTGCAGGCAGTCCCCGACCATGCAATCCCATTTCGTGAACGCCCCCGTGCAGGAGTCGGCGCAGTTCCTGAGGTCTTCGGATCACGACGAGGTGAGTGGGGACCTCGGCCACCAGCGGGAGTACTTCTACGAGCGGCTCCTCCTGACGGAGTCTCAATTGCAGAGCGTGTTCGGCCCGAAGATCAAGGCAGACACGAAGAAAAAGCTGCAGGACTTCATCGTCATGGGAGTGGACGAGCACGGCAAGTACAGGCAGTACTACAGCTTCATAGACGACGTTTGCGACAAGAGGACGGCGGGTTTCAGGCGCGAGCGCGTGAGCTGGAAAGTATCAACCGAACAATCCCGCAAGCTGTTGTGCTTCAACGAGCAGACGTTCATCGGTCAGGCGGGCGCCGTCTTCGAGTGGCATAGCCGCGACGTCTCCGCCATCTGCTCGGACCCTATTGGGATGGACGTTCCCTTGGTGAGCGCGATGCTGGCGGCTACGAGACCCACGAGAACCAAGAGAGGGAAGGCGCCTGACGACAACGAGGACGACGATGACAAGAAGATCGGCACGCCCACCACGAACCCGCTCGTCGGCCAGAAGCGCGCGATTCCATATGATTCGCCTTTACCTGTGTGGGATGATTCTCGCAAGGCTGGACGGTTCAACATTGCGCCGACGCTGGATGAAGAGGTGGCGATGGCTCCTTCCCCTGTCAAGGGCAGCCCGTTGGGAAAGCAGTACCCTCCAGTGCCGAGTCTCCTCGCGCCTGCGTCTTCATCGGCTACAGCTTCATCGCTAACGGTGGACGCGGTTGCTGGACATGTGGCTTCTGGCGCTGCGGCTGGGGGGGGGGCTTCGGAAATCTCTTTCATTCGATGCGGTATCGAACTCTGGGAAATCTGATGGAGCCAGCTCGGCAGCCGACAGTGAAGACCTAGACTTCAGCAATTGCCCGAAGGACAACCCAGGGAAGGTCGAGTACTGGATCCAGAAGAACAATCTTTACGGACACCTGGACGACCAGAAACTGAAGAACAGCGTCAAGGAGGCCACCAACCTCTTGGAGAGGATGAAGGGGAAAGCCGAGTTTTCAGGAGTATATTCGCGGCTGTTCAAGCACATGGCTGACGTGAGGCTGGTGTGCACAGTGAAGAGGTCTCTCATCAACGACGGCAAAATCACGGACGATCAGCTCCAGAAGGGCCTGAAGCCAATCCTTGCGGATGACGGGTCCGCCAACAAGCTCAGCCCCCAGTGCATGTTCGCCCTCGTCCAGCGGAAGGTTGCGACCCTGTTGCCAGGGAAGGGCACGATCGGCCTGACTACACTAGAAGCTTGCAAAGAAGTTTGGAACCGTTGCAGGCCATGGTCGCATACGCAAGTTATTTCTGGTAGCGCGGACATGGACACCTTCGGAGAAGATGAACCGACGGCCGCGCCGTCATGCGGTGGCGCCGAGACACGTACTCTCAACGAAACCGAGGTGGAGTTGGACACCGATGACCTCAGCTTCCTCCCGCTGGACCCGATGATCTCACAGATCCCGAACAAAACGGTCAGAGAAGCCGTATCCATGTTTACCGACGTTCTCATCAACAACCAGGTGTGTACTTTGATACTCCAGGACGCCGACTCCAGGAGCAGCTGCGAGTATTTCGCGACGGTCTGCCTTCAAGAGCTTGAGTCCGACCTTCGGAAGACGTTAGTACCACAGGGCTTCATGCGAACTGCGTTCGAGGTCCTCTCGACTTTAAAGCAGGTGCTGTTTCTCCAGCGTGTTGCCAACAAGAGGGTTCGCATCGATACCTACGAGAAGGACTACGTCGACTTCAAGAGCTTCTGCGCGTCGGCCTCTGCGCCGAAGACCGAGTACAACATCGTGAAGTACGTCCACGACGCCTTTCAGACGTCCGCAGCGTGGGCAAATACGATGGATAATGCAATGACCACGCACAATGGAACATTGACCGTCATCAAAGCCGTGCAGCCTATCGTCGCTCAGCTTGAGAAGTTCCTGAGCACGCCCATGGAATGTGCAGCAGTGCCGTCGCCATCGGAGCCCTGGCCCAGTTTGAAAAGGACCGCCGAGGAGATCCACAAATGGAAGGCTCACGAAGATGCGTTGTGCGACGATCTCTTGAAGCGCGTTGTCGATCAGTTCGTGAAGGCACTGACGCACCTCAGCAACGCTACGCACGCCGCCATCACAAATGAATCCCGTATGGAGAATGCGGTGCCGCTACAGGAGTTGCTGCAGCTTTCCGCCAAGATGTTCCCAGAGATCCCCATGATCCACGTGCAGCTCAAGAAGTGCCAGGTGTTCAACTCAGAGGCCGCGCTCCAGAAGCGGAGCAAGCAGCTGGAGGACGCGGCGCAGCTCATCGCGAAGGCTGTTGAGGAGGAGGTCGTGGCCGACCCTACTCTCCACGAAGCAGAGAAGCTCGTGAAAGACATCGAAGGCCAGGACTGCGGAGCGACGGGGAAGACGAAAATCCACGAGGCCCTGGTGTCTTTGGCGCTGAAGACTATCGACCACATGCCCCTGAAGACGCCCAACAAGACTACCGTGTTGTCTATATACACGAAGGTCAGGGATATCTTCAAGAAGGGCGCTGCAGACTATTCAGACCAGACCAGAGACATCACTATGCTGCACGACTTCCTCAAGGACGCGTTCGGCATCATCAGTAGCAATGCTGACTTCGAGGCCTTGGGGGAGAACGACGAGGCCCGCGCCGCTGAGGACGCGAAGAGCGGGTACAGAGTGGTTTCAGCTTGCAACTCCCTCATCAAACACGCCCGTGAGCTGCAGGAGAAGATCGACGCGAAGCTCACGATCAAGCAGGAGCCGTGGACGCAGGCTTCCACGCGCTTCCGTCACGAGGTCGTCGACCCGCTCGACGCCGAGGTCAAGAAGGTCGTGGTGCACTGCGAGGCGATCGAGAGGGAGAAGCTCATCGAGAAGCAGGCGCGGCTGGAGCTCACCGCGGCTGGCGGCAAGAACAAGGAGAAGTGGCACGCTTCCATCGTCGCGGACAACCTGAAAGACCTGAGCGAGCAGGAGACCATCACCACGACCTGGAAGCTCAAGGAGCACAGGGATGCCAAGCAGAAGTTGGAGGAGGCGACCCTGAGGGAACAACCCCCCTAACCCACAAACGACGATGGGGAGGGCCACTGAGAAGGGGTGGAAGGCAGGCGGGGGAACTGGAGGGCCGGTGAGCGGAGGGAGGGGAGGGGGATGGAGGGGGGTCAGGGCCCCCCCCGCTCTTACTGAAGGGGTCGCCTTCTGCGCGTCTGCTTGGCGATGCCCGTGCAGGCGACGAAGACCTACACTGACGCGGTGGACTACATCGGAGCTGCGGCGGACGCCGCGACGATCGATCGCTCGGACCAGATCTGCGACAGGGTCCTGGTCACAGAGGTGGAGGGGATGATCTTCAACTACCTGAAGAAGGAGGGGGGGGACGCCATCAAGCTGGCCGCCAGCATCGTGGCGCAGGCGGCGAAGCTGGACAAGCTCAAGATCAAGGGCTCGGAGGCGGCGACGGTGCACCCGCTCCTGCACGAGCGGATCGAGAGCGCCCGCGTGGGCAATTAGCCGCCGCGCGTGGCGCGGTGGCGGAGGGCGCACGGCGTCTGGCCGCGCCCTGGAAAGAGGGAGTACGAGGAGGCGAGGAGGGAGGAGGGGCAAAGGTGAGGAGGGCGGCGGGAGGACGGGGGAAGGAGGAAAGGGGAGGCGGGGAGGACACGGAAGGGGAGAGAGGATGAAGAACGAGAGAGGCAGTATGGGGCAACAGCAGGAGGGGGAACGTTGGAAATGAGGTCGGGGACCGCATGAGGAGTGAGGCGCCGCCGCTGTCGGCGTCAGTCGTCATCCGTCGCCGTCGCCGTCGCCGTCGGGGTGCCGACGCCCACGCTCACCTCTGGGCGAGGCGTCGCCAGAAGCCTGGCCGCGGCAGAACGCCGACCCCCGCTCCCGCTTTACATAGAGGCTTTCGCCACGAAACCGCCTGACCCCCAACCCTCCCCCTCTCCCGTGCGGTCCTGGGTTCCGCCCTGCTTACCCCCGCAGTCGATTTAAAATTCCTCTGGGAGGTCCCCAACACCCTGCTCGTGCGCGGATGCGCGGTGACGTTGGCACGGTCGGTGATATGTTTGCTGTGTCAAATAGTTCGAGGCGCGTAGTCGTCGTCGCATTTAGCTTCGTCGTTTCGCTAGTTTCGGCTCGACGATCTAAACACACCGATCGCGTTTCGTTTATTGTTTGGAGGGCGCCCCGAATATCAAAAATACAGTGGTTCAACATAACAGGCCGAGAGTGGTCAACATAGCAAAAAAAAAACAGTGATCGCGAGAGTCAGCGGCGCGAGCTCCAGAACAGTGCTTTTAATTTATTATGTTGGGAGGCCCTGTAGGGGGACAGGCGGATTACAGATTTCCTCCTCCGCCTCCTCCCCTTCCTCCTCCTCCTCCTACTCCGCCTCCTCCTCCTCCTCCTCCTCCTCCTCCTCCGCCTCCTCCTCCTCCGCCGCCTCCGCTTCCTCCTCCTCCTCCTCCTCCTCCTCCTCCTCCTCCTCCTCCTCCTCCTCCTCCTCCTCCTCTCCTCCTCCTCCTCTCTCCTCCTCCGCCTCATCCTCCTCCCTCATCCTCCTCCTCATCCTCCTCCGCCGCCTCCTCCTCCTCCTCCTCCGCCTCCTCCTCCTCCTCCTCCTCCTCCTCCTCCTCCTCCTCCTCCTCCTCCTCCTCCTCCTCCTCCTCTGGACAATGGACACCAAGGAATGCGCTCATTCTGTGGGTCACGAGCCCGTTCAGCCTTTCTGGGCCAACGGGGGACCCTCTTGGGGCGCTTCGGGGCCGTTTTGGAGGCCATCTTGGGCGTCTTGGGGGTTATCTTGGGCGTGTTGGAGGCCTCTTGGGCCGTCTTGGGGCCCTCTTGGGGCCATCTTGGAGGCCACTTGGGCCGTCATGGGGCTCTCTTGGGGGCATCTTGAGCGATCTTGGGGGCCTCATGGGCCGTCTGGAGCAGTCTGAATGCCGAGAAGGAACACATTCCAAAATCCTTCAAAGACTTCAGGGAAATCAATGATGTTGGCCTCGTCGGGCCCTCCTGAAGGACCTCTTGGGGGGCCTCTTGGGCCGTCTGGGAGGCCTCTTGGGCCGCCTCTTGGGCCGTCTTGGGCCGTCTTGGACTCTCTTGGGCCGTCTTGGAGGCCGTCTTGGGCCATCTTGGGCGGACTTGGCGGCCATCTTGGACCATCTTGGAGGCCATCTTGGGCCAGCTTGGCCATCTTGGAGGCCATCTTGGAGTGTTCCCCGAATCGATTTGGAAAGCCTTCGGGGAACACGTGGGCGCCTTGAAGGTCATCGTGGCCGTCTTGGAGGCCTCTTGGGCGATGTTTCGGCGATCTTTGGGGGCTCTTGGGCCGCCTCGGGCCGTCGGAAGGCCGAAAAGAATGACATCCCCAAATCCGTTAAAAATCTACGAATAATCAATGTGTTTGGCCTCTTCTGGCCTTCCTGGAGGCCCTCTGTGGGGCCTCTTGGGCCCTTTTGGGCCAGCTTCGAGCCAGCTTCGGCCATCTTGGTGGGTTCCTGGCACGTCTGACGCCGTCGGGAGCAGTCTTGGGGGCCTTTCTGGGCCAACGGGGGACCCTCGTGGGGCGCTTCGGGGCCGTTTTGGAGGCCATCTTGGGCGTCTTGGAGGCTATCTTGGGCGTGTTGGAGGCCTCTTGGGCCGTCTTGGGGCCCTCTTGGGGCCATCTTGGAGGCCACTTGGGCCGTCATGGGGCTCTCTTGGGGGCCTCTTGAGCGATCTTGGGGGCCTCATGGGCCGTCTGGAGCCGTCGGAATGCCGAGAAGAAACACATTCCATAATCTTTCAAACACCTAAGGGAACTCAATGATTTTGGCCTCTTCGGGCCCTCCTGGAAGACCTCTTAGGGGGCCTCTTGGGCCGTCTGGGAGGCCTCTTGGGCCGCCTCTTGGGCCGTCTTGGGCCGTCTTGGACTCTCTGAGGCCTTCTTGGAGGCCGTCTTGGACCATCTTGGGCGGACTTGGAGGCCATCTGGGGCCGTCTTGGAGGTCATCAAGGCCGTCTTGTGCGGCCGAACGTTGAGGCCAGACCTGCCAAGCCATCGGACCAGGTGTTCCCCGAGTGAAAAGCCTTCGGGGAACACGTGGGCGTCTTGAAGGATATCTTGGCAGTCTTGGAGGCCTCTTGGGCGATCTTTCGGCGATATGTGGGGGCTCTTGGGCCGTCTCGGGTCGTCGGAAGGCCGAAAAGAAGGAAACGTCAACACCCGTCACCAACCTACGGAAAATTAATGTTTTTGGCCTCTTCTGGCCTTCCTGGTGGCCCTGAGGCAGAAAAACAAAACAAAAAAAAAACAACAAACCAATGGCAACCGCAAACAAAGCAAAACAAGCTGAGACTCTCTGCGATGTTCAAATCTACCACCAGAACGTAATTGATTTCAATTGTATTCTGGTCGTGGATTTGAAACACGCAGACAGTCTCAGTTTTTTTTTGTTTTTGTTTTTTTTTTGTTTTTTGCTTCTTGATTTTTCAGTTTTGTTGTTTTGCTTTTTTTTAGTGTTTCCTTGGTATTTTCCCTGGGCCTCTGGCCCTGGGTAGGCCCAGGAGGATACCAGGGAAACAAAGCAAAAAAGGCAAACAAAACACGGACAAATCAAAACAAGCAAAACAAACTGAGACTCTCTGCGTTTTTTTTTAAATTTAATGTTTTATTTATTTTCTTTTCTTTTTCAAATCCACCACCAGAATGTAATTGATTTGAATTGTATTCTGGTCGTGGATTTGAAAATCGCAGAGCGTCTCAGTTTCTGTTTTTCATTAGTTTTTGCTTTGTTTGTTTTTCCCCAGGTATTTTCCCTTGGCCTCTGGCCTTGGGTAGGCCCAGGAAGATACCAGGTAAAAAAAAAAACAAAACAACCAAGGAAAAAAACAAAAAAAAAAATCAAAAAAAAACTGAGACTCTCTGCGTTTTTTTTTGGTTTTCAAATCTACCACCAGAATGTAATTTATTTTAATTGTATTCTGGTCGTGGATTTGAAAAAATCGCAGAGAGTCTCATCTTGTTTTGTTTTTTTGTGCTTGTTTCTTTTTTGTTTTGCTTTCTTCCCTGGTATCCTCCTGGGCCTCTGGCCCTGGGTAGGCCCAGGAGGATAACAGGGGAACAAAAATTAACACACGGGAAAATCAAAACAAGCAAAAAAAGCTGAGACTCTCTGCGTGTTAATCTACCACCATAATGTAATTGATTTTAATTGTATTCTGGTCGTGGATTTGAAAATCGCAGAGAGTCTCAGCTTTTTTTGCTTTTTCCCTGGTTTTGTTGTTTTGCTTTTTTTTGATTTTTTCCCTGGTATCCTCCTGGGCCTCTGGCCTTGGGTTTCAAATGGAATTCCTTTTGGGAGGATTACAAATTTGATCGAATTGTAATCCGCCAAAAGATCCAATTTGTGGAGATTAAAAAAGGGAAAGAAAGAGAGAGAGAGAGAGAGAGAGAAAGAAAGAAAGAAAGAGGGAGAGAGAGAAACGGAAAACAGAAAAAGAGACGGAGACAGAGAAAGAAACGCAAACAAGCAAGAACGACCCCAAGTCAAATAGGGTGAATTTTCTCCTTTCCCCCCCCCCCCCCCCGTGCGTTCAGGGCACTGCCGCCGTGCGCATCGTGATCCGCATAGGTGTCCGCATAGGAATCCGCATAGGAGTCCGGTCCGCAGTCTTCGTCGTCGTCGTCGTCGTCGCCGCCGTCGTTGTTGTCGTCGTCGTCGTCGTCGTCGCCCGTCGCTCGTCGCTCATCGTCGTCGTGCGCGCGGACGCAGCTGGAGGCTTTTTTTTTATAAATAAAACATGAATAATAAAAAATCTGGGCCGATGGCGGCCATTATCTGGGGGGGGTAGAAGGGGCCGATGACGTCACGTTTCGCGCCGGCTGCGTCTGGGAATGCTTAGGAACCACCGAGGACGGGTAGCGGCAGCATGTCGGTGGCGATCTGCACCACAACGCCTGTGTACACCACAGTGCTCGCGTGCACCACAGCGCTTGTGTACACCACAGCGCCTGCGTACACCGCAACAGCCGTGTGCAACGCAGCGCCTGTGTACACCACAGTGCTTGCGTGCGCCACAGCGCCACTGTACACCACAGCGAATGTGTGCACCGCAGCAACCATGTGCAACACAGCGTCTGTCTACACCACAATGCTTGCGTGCACCGCAGCGCCTGTGCACACCACAGTGCCTGCGTGCACCACAGCGCCTGTGTACACCACACCGACAATGTACACCACAGCAGCCGCGCGCATCACAGCGCCAGTGTGTGCCACAGTGCCTGTTGGCACCACAGCGCTTGTGTACACCACAGCGCCTGCGTACACCACATCAGCCGTGTGCAACACAGCAGCAGTGTAGACCACAATGCCTGAGTGCACTCAGCACGGCCCCAGTGAATAGACCATTCTGCGGTGCACGCTGAGACGCGCACGTGCGCTGTAGTGCCGACCCGCACGACAGGGGTGAGGGGTGAGGGAGGAGGAGGAGGACAAGGAGGAGGAGGAGGAGGACGAGGAGGAGGACGAGGAGGAGAGGAGGACGAGGAGGAGGCGGAGATGGAGGCGGAAAAAACATGTCGCATTCTTTTCTCAGCACTTCCCTGGCGTGGCGTTTAGCTGTCCGCAGCAGCATCTCACCGACATGCTCCTTCTACCTGTCTTGTGCACGCAGGCACTCTGGTGTACGCCAGCGCTGCGTTGCACGTGGATGCTGTGGTGAATACAAGCGCTGTGGTGTGCACAGGCGCTGTGTTGCACATGGTTGCTGCGGAGTGCACACTCGCTGTGGTGTACACTGGCGCCGTGGTGCACGCTAGCACTGTGGTGTACACAGGCGCGGCGTTGCACACGGCTGTTGCGGTGTACGCAGGCGCTGTGGTGTACACATGCGCTGTGGTGCACCCGAGCACTGTGGTGTACACATGTGGTGCAGATCGCCACCTACATGCTGCTCGCGTCGTCGTTGTCGTCGTCGCTCGTCGCTCGTCGCTCATCGTCGTCGTGCGCGCGGGCGCGGCTGTAATGCCGGAGCCGCACGGCGGGGGGGGGGCGGGGGGCGCTACGTCATACCCCCCCCTCGCCTCCCCCCCCATGACGCCCGTTATCGCCGATGATAAAGACACGCGCTCCAAGAGAGCCCTAAGGAGGCCGCCAGGAGCCCGACACCGCCAGCTGCCCCCCAAGAGGCTCCAACGAGGCCTCCTTGAGGCCATAACGAAGCTTCCAGAGGCTTGAGAAACGCTTCCTACAGTCCCCCGAGAGGTCTCCCGGGAGACTCCAAGAAGCCTCTCAAATTGAGGTCTCCGACTCGCAGATCTGCACACCTTTTTTTTCACGGGCCGACTGTCGCGTGAAGGGTCCATTCTCAATCTCCTCCTCCTCCTCCTACTCCTCCTCCTCCGCCTCCTCCTTCTCCATGCTTCTCTTGCTTCCTCGCCTTCCCTCCGCCATCCTTCTTCCCTACTCCTTCTCCGTCTGCAGCTGCCTTCTTTCATTCCTTTTTCTCCCATCCCTGTCTGGCCTCCTGTTCCCTAACTCCGGTCGTGCCTTCTCCATTTCTCTTCGTCTTCATACCACCTCTTCCTCGTTCCTTCTGTCCCAGTGCCTCCGAGGTGTCCCAAGAGGGCCTCCGGACGGCCCAGGATGGCGTTAAGACGGCCCAAGAACCCCCTTGAACGCCGCAAGAGGGATCCAATATAACTACCAGGAGAAGGGGGTCCAGAGGCCAAAACGCCAAAACCACTGATTCCCGTGACCGTTCGAAAGAATTTCAGGTTCCTGTTTTTGAGTGTTGTCCCGGCAGCACATGACAGCCGAAGAGGCCTCCAAGATGGCCGAAGGCAGCACCAATAGGGCCCCAGGACGGCCCACAAGGGCCAAAAGACGGCCCAAAGCGCCCCAAGACGCCCCGAAAGCCCCCCACGATGGCCCCAAGAGGGGCCCTGAAAAGATACATCGAATTGGTCGTTGTAGCCTCTCTCCCAAGAGGCCCCAATCATGCCCGAATATGTTTCTAAGAGGCCAGCCCACCAAGTGCATACGCATGTATACTTCTAGTGAGTTGCGCACCCGTCGACCGCACTCGAACCTCAACTCGCGCCTTCAGTAACCAACGCGTTGGCTTGGAAATCCACGGCTCCCTTCATTCGGGCACGGCCTTTCTGTCTCGCTATGCGCCGGGATACAAGACAGGAGCAAGTTGATCGTGCGCGAAGTGCGTGCGATGGTTCGAGTACAACCATGGCATATCGGCATGTATATGTATATGTAGTTCGCACCACGTGAATCACACTGGTTCTTTGTTCTGGGTCTGCGCTGTAATTGTTTTCGACGGAGGTGGAGGGCTTCAGTTGGACGCGCCAACCAAGCACGTCGCTACACAATGGGTGAGAACCCAATGCTTCTGAAGGTGTGTGTGTGTGTGTGTGGGGAGAGCGGCGTGCATTCTCTCCGATGAAGGGAAAGGTCACGTCCTGGTATGAATGGTCAACCTTCCTTGAACGACATGGGCGGCCGACGGAGACGGTGCTGAAGACGACGGAACGGGTGACTGATGAGATCAGTAGGGAAAGAAAGAGAGGACCAGGTGAGAGCGAGGTTCCAGGAGGATTTGGGATGAGTAGGACGAGCGTCGAGGTTGATCGAGGACAATCAAGAGGAGGACGTTGAGGAGGAGGAGGAAGAGAAGAAGGAGTAGCGGGAGGATGTGAGCAGGGACAGTGGAATCCTCGTGGGTGGGTGCTGCACTGCGAAGGACGACAGGAATCCTTCGCCATTGGTGGGGCTCTGCCGGGCGCCGTGGAGCTCGTCCTCGGAGCCCATCCCCATGTCGTTGCGCCGGGCGCTATTCTCGTGCATCTGTGTCGCACTGTCTGTCAGCAGAGCTGAGTGTCAAGGGGGGGGGCGATGCCGACGACACCACGGATGATGATGATGATGATGATGATGATGATGATGATGCTAATTATGTTGATGTTGAGGATGATGGTGAGGATGAGGATGAGGATGAGCATGAGGATGAGGATGAGGATGAGCATGAGGATGAGGATGGTGTTGATCATGGTGATGATGGTTTTGTTGATGTTGATGCCGATGTTGATGGGGATGATGATGGGGATGATGATGGGGATGATGATGATGCTGATGATGACGATGACGATGATGATGATGATGATGATGGTACTGCTGATGATGATGACGATTATGATGATGATTAATGGTGATGGTGATGCTGATCATGATGATGGTGAGGGTGAGGGTGAGGGTGTGGGTGATGGTGATGATGTTGATGATGATGAGGATGAGAATGACGATGATCAGGATGAGGATGGGGCTGAGGATGAAGACGAGGATGGTGATGATGAGGATGGTCATGATGAGGTTGATGCTGATGATGCTGGTGATGGTGATGATGATGGTGATGGTGGTGGTGGTGGTGATGCTGATGACGATGATGGTGATAGTTATGGTAATGGTGATGATGATGGTGGCTATGAGGGTGATGTGGTGATGATGATGAAGCTGATGATGATGATGATGCTGTCGATGATGATAGTGATGCTGATGTTTGAGATGATGGTGAATATGAAGGACCTGGTGATGCTGATGCTGGTGATGATGATGCTGATGACGATGACGATGCTGATAATTGGTATTGTGGTGATGCTGATGCTGATGGTAGTGATGGTGATGGTGATGATGCTGATGATGGTGCTGCTGCTGCTGATGATGATGATGATGATGCAGATGAGGATGATGCTGATAATGGTGGTGGTGGTGCTGCTGTTTCTGATGATGATAATGGTGATGGTGATGGTGATGGTGATGGTGATGGTGATGGTGATGATGATGATGATGATGTTGTTGATGATGTTGATGATGATGATGATGATGATGATGATGATTCTGATTCTGATGATAAAGGTGAGGTGGACCAGAAGGAACGGGATGGGACGAATTCAATGGATACAGAGGGGGGAGAGACTGAGGAAGCGGAGGAGAGAGGATGGGGAAGACGACCAATGAAGAGGAGGGATAACACCGAATTCATTGGTAATGAGAGGCAATGGCGACGGCGCTTCACAACACGAGGAGGAAAAGGGCCAGCTAGGCGTGCTCGCGCCACACATGCCATCTTAGCCATCATACCAATCCAAATCCACGGCGTTGATGTGTTTTTATCCGCTGACCGGAGCGTCCCAGCCCAGAGGACCATGATCCCCAAATGGCGCGTGCAGGATTTGATCAATGAATTGTTATGCAATCGGTGGGAGATGTGGACACATTTTCATTATATTCGGAGCAGGATGAGGATGAGGATGATGATGATGAGGAGGACGACGACGAGGAGACGGATAGAGGTGGAGGAGGAACAGGAGGAACAGGAGGAGCAGGACCAGGACGACCAGGAACGACGGGAGCAAAGCACCGATCCTGAAATGTGGCCAGTGCCGCTCTTGCAGGACAGAGAACGTTCCGATTGGACAAACGCCCATGAGATACCATGGGTATGTGTAAACATCATGGGTGTAAGAATCAGTATGCGGGAGCCTCGACTAGGCACACGAAGTTGCTGCGGCTTCCTGTCTTGTTGGCGCACTCCGCTGGTTCCCTGGATTGCTGAGATGTGCCCGTCGCCCGAACTGTCACTGGCGCTCAGGAGAAGCGGGTTATTCAAGGCCTTCGCACCGTCAATGGTTTGTTTGGCCTCCACTTGGGGGAGGGGGGCGGGTGATGGGGGGGAGGGAAGGTGATTGGAAGGGAAGCAGGGAGGAGAACGAGGGGATGGTGGTGTGTGGGTGTGATGAGGAGGAACATTTTCAGCGAAGGAGGGGCCATGTGCTGGAGCAGGAGCAACAGGAATTTGCGCATGCCTGTCCGATTATTATGTCCAGATGCGTCGGCTGTTTTGTTGTAGTCGTATTGCGCCTTGATTGCATCTGCCACCGCCTTGTAGGACGTGGGAAGGTCCGCGAGATGTCATTCCAGGAGCAGGGACATCGGTTTAAGTTCCCAGACGACGAGCACATTCCTAATGGATTTGGAACCAAGCGTGGAAGCCTGTTGGGTTCGATTCGTCGCGGGGGGGCAGCTTTATCACGGCTCCGCAACAATCTCACGCATCGACACACATGAAGGAGTCGTGGCGGATGCCTTTGGTAGTAGGCTTCGTCACGAACATGCCTATTTGTTGAGTCCTTAGCATGGGATGGGGAGGGCAGGAGAGGATGGACAGAGTGCTGAGGCCGGGGGTGAGGAGGCAATGGGAAACAGGAGGGGGTGCAAGACATGGGTTTATGGCGATTGGGGGGAAGGGGAGGTGGTGTGTGCGTGTGTGCCGTAGCTTGATGGGTATGGGGTTGGAGGGATGGATGCGAGAACGTGCGAGAGGCGGCGGGCGGAGGGGACGTGTGGGGATTGCAGAGGAAGGCGAGGCGCGTGATTGAGTGCGCGACAGGACTGGCGGAGCCCGCGGCAGTGGGCGCAGGTCGCTGAGGCGCCCAGTGGCCCGCACACGCAGGCACCGTCTGCCCGCCTCGCCTTTGGGCGCACAGGAGGAGGCGAAGAACAACGAGAAAGAGGAGGCGGACTAGAAAGAGGAGAGGCAATCACAAGCTGTGCCAAGTCATGGTGCTGCCCGTAGCTTGCAAAACATTGTTTCAGAGGCGAGGCATAGTTCCTGCTGTTCACGGGGGGGTGTTCAACCGTTCAACCATCCTTGAGACAGAGAGGGCTTCCCTGATGGCTTGAACGAACTTGTTCTCTCGAAGCGCGGCTCAGAACTATCCTGCGCGGGCCTTTTGTCGTTTTTGTGCTGCGTAAGAGGTCGCGTGCCATGCAAAGGGGTCACTGTGGCTGCCAGGAAGTTGAGTTTTGTCGACTTCGGCCTGGTGCCACTGCGCCACCCCTGGAAACCTCATGTGCTCCGACTTCTTGGGGGGCTTCATGCCTTCCAATCCCCTCCTGCTGCCCCTCCCCTCCCTTCCCCCTCTCCTCCCCCTTCCCTCCCTCCCTGCTCCTCCCCCTCCTGCTACACAGGCAGCGGCTGCGAGCACCGTCACGGTCTCTGCCGCCGCGCGCGCCGCCTCTGGTGCTCGCGCCGTGGCGAGCAGCCTGGCGCGCAGTGCGCTGGACCCCAGCAGCGCTGCCGCCCTGGCAGAGATCGGGCGGCCGCGGGGGGGGGGGGAAAGGGAGGGATGAAGCTCGGGAGGGGGGGATGGGGACGGGGAGGGAGGGCGGGACCAGCGGACGCCAGGACAGAAATAGATGGGCAGGGAGGCGAGCGAATGAGCGAGGGAAGGGACGAGGAGTGAGAACTAGGGGAGCGACAGAGCGAAAGAGGGAAGTTGCTCCAGATGGCGCGCAACGTCTTCGAGGTTTACCACGTCGTTCGGCTGAGCTATTATTAGAACCGTGTGCTGCTCTAGTTTGATTGCCAGAATTCCTGCCGCATTCAACTGTCGCTTCGACGTCGTCCCTTCCACCGCCGACTTCGTCGGCACAGGTGGACTTATCATGAGATGTCCAGCGGGATCTCTATGCGTGTGCACATTCACCTGCCCAAGCAAACTTCCGAAACAACTGATCTATACATTTTATGTATGTATGTATGTATGTATGTATGTATGTATGTATGTATGTATGTATGTATGTATGTATGTTTGTATGTATGTATGTATGTATGTATGTAGGTAGGTAGGTAGGTAGGTAGGTAGGTAGGTAGGTAGGTAGGTATGTGTGTATATACAGAATATAGATGCACCTAGTCTATGCAGACCTGGTGGTATTTCTGGCACGCCCCCATGTTGACGAGAGCAGGGTTACCACGTTCTGCGCCGCTTCGAATGCTGAAATGCGCATGCGTGACGCTGGCCTGTAAGTGGCTGCTCCTCACGATGAGGATTCCCTGCCACGAGCTCTGCACCCCGCGCTGCTGATAGCGCGTGCGTCTGCTCCACCCGTATGCACGCCTCGCGTTGGCCGTTGTCACGGTATTGCCGGCACGCATGACGTTGAGCACGCGCTTATTGCGTGCCACGGTGCTCGTGCCTGGCAGCAACGGTGGCGGCTCTCTTGTGGATGGTGCCACCCCTTGTCTGTTGTGGTTTTTGGTGCATGGTTGCTGCTACAAGAGTAGGGCTTGAACCTCGCGGTCCACAATTGATGCTTGATTAGTTACTGGCCGCCGCCATGTCAATGCCATTCAGGCCCGCGCATGTGGTTTTGAGCGTAAAGAGTGTAAGCCTCTCTCTGGCATCCCGTGCTCTGTAGCGTCTGTAGCGATTGCCCAGCTGCCGTCCCTTCTCCGCAATATGTTTGTTTTTCCCAACCGTGTGGTGTTGGGTCCTCGTTTTGAAGAGACATCGCCCCGCGTCACCTCCCCACTCCTCCTCCCCTTCCTCCACCTCCTCATCGTCACCATCAGCATCATCCCACCCATTTTGGCACACCCCTCAATCGGCTCGTAGCCCCACAGGGGGCTCCACCGAAGGCCCCAGTGGCGCAGGCCGCATGCGGGGACCGCCGCCCATTTTGGCACACCCCTCAGACGGTTCGAGGCCCCAGAGGGAGCTCCACCGAAGGCCCCAGTGGCACAGGCCGCATGCGGGGACCGCCACCCATTTTGACACACCCTTCACACGGTTCGTGGCCCCACAGGGAGCTCCACCGAAGGCCCCAGTGGCACAGGCCGCATGCGGGGACCGCCACCCATTTTGGCACACCTTTCATATCGTGGCCCCACAGGGAATTCCACCGAAGGCCCCAGTGGCACAGGCCGCATGCGGGGACCGCCACCCATTTTGGCACACCCATCACACGGTTCGTGGCCCCACAGGGAGCTCCACCGAAGGCCCCAGTGGCACAGGCCGCATGCGGGGACCGCACCCATTTTGGCACACCTTTCACACGTTTCGTGGCCCCAAAAGGGAGCTCCACCGAAGGCCCCAGTGGCACAGGCCGCATGCCGGGACCGCCGCCTTATTGGCACACCGTTCACACGGTTCGTGGCCCCACAAGGAGCTCCACCGAAGGCCCCAGTGGCACAGGCCCTATGCGGGGACCGCCACCCATTTTGGCACACCCATCACACGGTTCGTGGCCCCACAGGGAGTTCCACCGAAGGCCCCAGTGGCACAGGCCGCATGCGGGGACCGCACCCATTTTGGCACACCTTTCACACGTTTCGTGCCCCCGAAGGGAGCTCCACCGAAGGCCCCAGTGGCACAGGCCGCATGCGGGGACCGCCACCCATTTTGGCACACCTTTCATACGGTTCGTGGCCCCACAGGGAATTCCACCGAAGGCCCCAGTGGCACAGGCCGCATGCCGGGACCGCCGCCTTATTGGCACACTGTTCACACGGTTCGTGGCCCCACAGGGAGCTCCACCGAAGGCCCCAGTGGCACAGGCCGCACGCGGGGACCGCCGCCAATTTGGGCACACTGTTCACACGGTTCGTGGCCCCACAGGGAGCTCCACCGAAGGCCCCAGTGGCACAGGCCGCATGCGGGGACCGCACCCATTTTGGCACTTTTGTCATACGGTTCGTGGCCCCACAGGGAGTTCCACCGAAGGCCCCAGTAGCACAGTCCGCATGCGGGCACCGCCACCCATTTTGGCACACCCCTCGCACGGTTCGTGGCCCCACAGGGAGTTCCACCGAAGGCCCCAGTGGCACAGGCCGCATGCGGGGACCGCCACCCATTTTGGCACACCCTTCACACGTATCGTGGCCCCCACAGGGAGTTCCACCGAAGGCCCCAGTGGCACAGGCCGCATGCGGGGACCGCCACCCATTTTGGCACACCCCTCACCCGGTTCGTGGCCCTACAGGGAGTTCCACCGAAGGCCTCAGTGGCACAGGCCGCATGCGGGGATTGCTACCCATCTTGGCACACCCCTTACGCGGTTCGTGGCCCCACATGGAGCTCCACCGAAAGCGGTAGTCACAATGCGGTATTCGCAGCTGCATATGGTTGGGTCATTAGTCAGGCTAATGTTCCCAACCATCATCTTGTGGTGTTGGGCCCTCGTTTTGAAGGGACAGCGCCCTGCGTTCTTTCCTTCCTCCTCCTCCCCCTCCTTCCTCCTCCTCCGCCTCCCACTGTCGTCATCATCATCATCATCATCATCATCATCATCATCATCATCATCATCATCATCATCATCATCATCATCATCATCATCATGCTTCTTCTATTCTCTGTGAGCAAGCTCCTGCTGTCTCCGCAGCTTCTCTGCCCAAGTGCCCCCCCGTCGGCCGCGCGTGCGGACGCCTTATGCAGGCGGTCGCACAAGCGGCTCTCGGGGGCGCTGGGGAGATCTTCTTCAGGGGGCTGCGGGCCGCGCTCTACGAGCGGCTCGTGTCTGCCCCCCTCTCTGTGCTTCAGGACCAAGGGCCTCCTGCGCCTGCCTGGTCCATCCAGCAGGCGGACTCGTCCGAGGGTGAGGGGGCTTACTGCCCCCTCCCTTCGGCGGGTTCCGCCTGCCCCACCGTCTGCCTCGGGCTGGCGGTGGATCTGAGCGGCGGGGTCTCTCCCTGGCTGCTCAGCACGGTCGTCGCCCTCCTTTGGGTGACGGCCGCGTGCAGCGCCTGCGCAGGCTGCTGCTTCGGGCTGCTGGGCCCGTACGTGTGGCGGAGGCTCAGGGCCTCCGCCTGGCCGCGCGGTGCGGTTCCTGCTTCCCCTGAGCAGGACCGCCGTGCGGCGCGAGCGCTGGCTTACGGGGTTCCGCCTCGGCCTCGAGCGCTCGAGCGGGCAGGCGCCCAGCATTCGGGCGGCAGTTCCCACGACAGCGCCCATTGATGGCTGAGCTGCCACCAGTTGGCGGAGGGCCTCTATGGCCCGAGCTCTACCCATTCGCGGCTCCCACGGCTCGCGATTACGCACGATGGCGCCTAGACGACGGCGACACCAGCTGGGCAGCTATCCCCCTCGCGTCTCGAGAAGGGGGCATCCTTCTGGCCCTGCCTGGCGCCTTTCGCTCTACGGCGGAGCTCGTGGCTGCCGAGGCGGATGGCTTTGCAGGAATGATAGGCCCTTTCCAGCTAGTGGACGTCCAGCTCCAGGGGGCCGCTTCACGGCCGCTCGCCACTACTGCATCCGTCCTCGTCGTAGACATCGAGGTTGCAGAGCTCGAGCTCGAGTCGCTTTACCCTCTAGAGGTCGGGGAGGACGCAGTCATCGTTCCCTTCGCCGAGGTGCGGGGCCGCGTCTATTGGCCACATCCTTCGGGGGTTCGGGTGCTTCGCGAGGGCTACGCACGCTTGCACGGCGCCCCGCCTACTGCAGGAGAAGAGCCGCTCCCAGGGGCCGATCGGGCTACTCCCTATCACTCTGCCGACGAGATGGAGGAACCCGAGGGGTTCGCGGCCGACGGGGAAGCCGACCGCACGGCCCCAAGTGCGCGATCTCCCGCGGACGCTGGAGCGCCGCGCGGCCCGCCCGCGAAGCGCGCGGGCACCGCCGCGCCGCCACGGGTTGCGGGTCCCGCTCCGATCGCTCCTGGTGCCCCTGCGGCGTCTCTGGACGACGGGGCTCCTATGACCCGTGCCGAAGTAGCTGCCGAAATGCGCGCCTTGCTTGCAGCCCACGCGGCCTCCACGATGGTCGGCAGACCCGAGCCGCTGGGCCCCGCGCCGGCTGCCCGGAGCGATCGGCCCGAGGTGCCTCAGCTTTTCAGCGACGAAGCGGTGCGCCTCGGGCTGGATCCTGCGGGGATCGAGGCCGTCCTGTCTCACGCGCCCGTGGCCCCACAGCGGGTCTCCGCGCGTCCCAAGGGTCCGACCTCCGCGCTGGTCTCGGCGTGGGAAAAGGCGCGCTCTCTTGCTGTCCCTCGGGCCCCTTCGTCCGGTTTCGGAGCGATGGGCCCCCCGCCGCCACCTGGGCTAGCCCATCCCGCTGCGGCCGACGGCTTTGCCGAGGCGGGCGGCGCCGACGGGTCAGAGCCGCCCCATGCGGCCAATCCGACGGACTTCAGCCTCATGCTACAGTGCCTGCACCAGTCCCTCCTATTGCAGCAGGGGCGGGGCCATCGCCCAACCGTCCATCCGCTTCTGGGGACCCTGAGCGACTCAGCTCAAATTCCGCCCACGAGCTCGGGCGACCCCGCGCCCGCATCGGCCCAGATGGGGGGCATTGCTCGGAGGCGCGAGTGGCAGCAAGCG